CCATGAAGGTCGACACACGCAGTTATCTCTGCCTCCATACACAAGCACTAATCCTAAAGCCTAGAGTCCGCAGATTTGAACCCCCAAAGTTTCGCGCCGCAAGCCTAAACTTGTTTGTCAAGACACCGCTGTAGCAAATTGCCTGCTTTAGGCGGCGGTCCTCGTGAGACGAGGGCGCCTGCACCGTGCGGAGCGCCTATGCACAGTGAGGCGTCTCAATACCATGCGGCCTGGCACCAGGGGCTTGCAGTTTTATGGGTCGGAAGGGTTTATAAGTTCTGTGGGCTTGAGACGGGGGAAGGTTTGTGTGGTTTGGTTCATAGGGACGTAATGTAGGCTCGAACGCCGTTTAGCTGTCAGGGGTTTGCACTGCAGCACCGTGTTGAATGCTAAACTCGAGCGGCCCTGCGCAGAGCTCTAGCAAGCAGCTGCGCCATACTATCCTGTGCTTACATTAGGATTGAGAAATCATTGACCTCGGAAGACCTTGAATCTCAAGTGACGGAGTGCGTTGACCCGAAACTGCGAACCCCAAACTCCACACCACACCCTCGTACTTACGACCCCACGACGACCGTTAGAATGCCTTTGACTGCGCGCTGATCTCCAAGCTCTCACCATAACCGGCAATGTCGGCCCCTGACGTCCCAATTCAGTAAGTAGCTTGATATGATATGTTCGGATCCCTATACCCTACTTCCTGTTTAAGGGAGAGAGGTATACAGTCAGGGGTTCACACATCCCGAAGCTCCATTCCACGAATCCCAATCGCCAGAGCGCCAGTCGCTTACTTTCAAAGTTCGGCGATGAGCCCAACAAAGAATCCAGCGGCACTAAAGCCCCACAAGAGCCAAAGAGATCAGAAACCCTACCTAAAGACCTAAAGCTCCTAAATGGGTTTAGGGTTGCCGGTTGAGGGTTTTCGTTTCGAGGTGAAGTTCCTGTCCAACGTGGAGTCCGCCGGGCACACCTGCTACACCATCGAGATCACGCATGGTGGGAGCCGCTGGCAGCAGGCACAAGCTATGCTCGGGGTTTAGGCCGGTTTAGGGGTTGGATCTCGGCAACAGCACAAAGAGACGAACAAGCAGACGACAACACACCAGAACTCAGCGACCTAAACAGAAATGGAAACAGTAGCAGACAGAAGTACGTGCAACAACAGCCCCTGCAACAACAGCCCCTTAGACCGCACAAGCTGCACTTGTCAGGGGATTCTACCCAAGAGAAGCCCGGAAAGCCTCGAGCCCTAAGCTTAAAAGCCTGCACCCAGACTGGTGCAGTCGGAGAAAGGTGTGGAAAAACAAACCCCGCACCCCAAGACCTTAAGCTAAGACATCCGAAGCCCCAGACCCCGAGACTGGAAGCTCTTGAAACTCGACGTCCCGCGGCTCCCCACCCGTGGGTTCCCGACTGTTTAGGGCTTAGAGCTCAGAGGTATTTTTGGGGTTTGGGGTTTAGGGTGTAGAGATGTCGGGGTGCGGTGGTGGGGAGGGGGTGGTGTGGTTCCACCTTACAACATCAATGCCACGCTTGCGAGGTGAAGCGCTATCGGGAATTACGAGAGCTTCACGACGAGCTGCGACTGGGCTGCTAGTGCTGGTGCTGGTGCTACTGCTACTAAAGCTATGACTACTACTACTACTACTACTACTCCTACTACTACTACTACTACTACTACTACTACTACTACTACTACTACTACTACTACTACTACTACTACTACTACTACTACTACTACTACTACTACTACTACTACTACTACTACTACTACTACTACTACTACTACTACTACTACTACTACTACTACTACTACTACTACGACTATACTACTACTACTACTACTACTACTACTACTACTACTACTACTACTACTACTACTACTACTACTACTACTACTACTACTACTACTACCACCACCACCACCACGCCACGACGGCGACGACTACAACTGCTACTAGTACGACCCGTGCCCCGGCGAGGCGATCACGACGACTACCACCGCCTTGGTCCTTACGAAAACGGGCTTAGGGGTTTAGGGTTTAGGGTTTAGGGTTTTGGAAGGTCCCTTCTTGGATACCCTGACCCTACATATTAGGTGCCGTACTATATTAAGGACCCAAAAAGGGCCCACAATTTTGACAACCACTCACATGGGCATGTTTCGATTTGTTCATGCCAGTTAGTCTGGAAGGTAACTATACCCCTGCTCTCACTGCTGCCGCACATACCTAACCTCTAACTCCGAACACCCCATATCCAAAACCCCTAGAGTAATTCAGGAAGTTGAAGCACGGCGAGATTCTGCCGCCCTTTCCAGGGAAGCGTCATCTTGGCTCAACCTAGAGTTCAACCTTTCGGGATTCAGGGTTGACGGTCTAAGAAAGCCCTGAACCTAAATCCGAATGCCGACAATTCGAATCTTCCTGACCTGTGTAGAAAGACTGGGAAGAGATATGTGCCATGCGGCCGGAGAATCCGTTAATCTCCCTTACATCCGTCATGCAACCCTGATAGATCTCTGCTAGAACCCTAAACCCTAAAGCCTGAACCCCTGAACTCTTAACCCTAAACCCTTAATGCCAAACCCTAACCCCTGAACCCTCCCCCCATCCATGTTTACGGAGAAAAAGGTTCAGTGGTCGGGTCGGGCTTCAGGGTTTAGGGTTCAGGCTACACCAGGTACCCTTTCGTTGACAGAGGCCTTATGGTTTTTGATAATGGGTGCTTAGTCTCGAAGAAGGGGTAGTGGGGGGGGTGTGCTGGTACGGTTTAGCCTTTGGGATTCTTGGTTTAGGCTTTATAGGGCTTGCGGTCTCAGGTTTACCGGCCGGGGTTTAGGGGTTTAGAGTGGTTTAGGTTGACTAGTCTTTATGGGTTTCAGACGGTTCTGCATGAGCTTGCTGGGGTTTGACAAGCTTTATGTGCAGTAGGCTTTGCGTTATCAGGGGTCGTGTGAGTGCTCCTTCCGGAGTAGTATCTTTGGAGACTATTAAGAGGATGCTAGTTATAAAAGTCCTACACAAGGTAAGGTGATGCTTTGGTCTCACGCTTCTAACATAGGGGCCTTCACGGTTAGATGCAGCTTTCGGGGTTGCATTATAGTATGGCACTTGGGCGGCACAAGTAATTATTTAGGCTTGTCTGTTTTGTGGGGCCAGTGGACTATAGACTCCAGGAGGTTGGCATACTTCTGATGGACACAACCCCGCAATGCCCATATTACGTAATTGCACCATAATCCCCCTTTCCCCTAGTTTACGCTGCTTGAAGTCATGCTTGTCTGCAGCCGCAGCGGAAATTCAGATTGCCCCCCCAACCTCCTAAGCCCTCAACCCGGTTAAACCCGAAACTCTTAAGCCCCAACACCCCAAACCCCTCCCTTGAGTTTCTGAAGTCGGAACCTAAACCGCTATTAAACCCCGAATGAGGGGCCTTATTTATTACCTATACTGTTTTGAGGGCTCCTCATTGTCATTAAAATCATAAAGCAATATGCCACACCACCTTGTTCTTGTTTTCAAGTCCCTACCTAAGCCCCGACTACATCGGGCTCTGCGCCCTTTGTATCCATCCAAGGCTTCTTCGGCAACAGTGACCCAGCCTTCGTGGCACAGAGACAGGAAGGATTAGCAACTCGGCGTGGTCCAAACCCGCTGTGTGTAATCTAGGGGCCAATATTATAATTATAGTGCAACGGGCCCCAAAGCCCAATTCTAATTATTAAAGCCCCTATATGTGGGTTTGGGCGAAGGATTCGGGTGAAGGTTGAGGGAGTCGGCTTGAGTTTGGGGTTTTGGGGTTTTGGGCTTTGGTTTAGGGTGTACTTTTCCCAGGATTTCGATATCCGGCACGGGCCTATGCTCTAAGTAGCTTTCTGTTGCTCGTTCTGCCATACATGTAGAAGAGGCATTTGACGACGGTCCAGATTTAAAGTTCGCGGAGGGGGTAGGGATTTGACAAGCAGCTCGTAGGGTTCAGGGCTTGGAGGCGTATCCTCCGTTTCCGTTAAGATACTTTTCATGTACATCCCCCAAACCCCCAAACGAAGCAGGTGTGTCGCCTCTTCCGCAAGCTTTGACAAAGTCTCTTGCCTTCCGATGCCGAGAAACTCTAAACCCCAAAGCCCTACAACCGAACCCCCCCAAGACGCTTTCGGATTGAGGGTTTAGAGTCTAGAGTTCGCAACTCCTTGGAAACACCCCAAAGCCCCAACGAGCCGCTCCATCCAACCCCGAACAACTCCCAACCCTGAATCCTCGTTTCCTTCCAAAAGACCACCCCTGAGTTCCCAACAAATCTCGTAATCGCCTGAAGGAAACCGATGAATCCTCTCCGTAATCCAAGGGCCTAAGTACCTAACGATCATAAATACTGACCTACAAGAGTGCTATCCTAATACCCTGAACCTTAAACCCAAAATCCGGAAGCCTTTCAAAGCGCAGGAACGATATCTGGTAGGAGTTCTCCAGCTCGACCCAGATGTCACCCATCCTGCCCTCCGATCGTGCTCCGGACGACTTAGGGGTCTAAGGTTAAGGGTTTAGGGTTTCAGGTTTAGGGTTCAGGGATAAAGTACAGTAGGAACCAGATAAAGAAACCTTGGGCCTTTATTAGGGTTCCTTTTATGAATCCCAATATATTGGGGGTTATAAGGCGCAGGGTTTTTAAATCAGGTTCCTGCATTAGGGTTTAAGTTGAGGGGTGCTTTCGACCCGGCGTTTCGGGCTCAGCTTAGGGTTTCGGGTTAGTTAACCCGCCTCCCAACCTACCTGTTGGAAGGGGTTGCCATAGGGATCCTAATGCTAAGGCGTTTGGAGAAAGGGCTTAGTCTCCACGAGTCTACATTAGGCCTTGTGGTTTGGTGGGCTGCATGTGTGGTGTTCAGGGTTTAGGATTCCAAGGGCTCGAGGAGATAGGGTTTAGGGTTTAGCCCTTTGGCCCAGGAGCCTCCCAGAGGCGGGGCTGAGCAGGCAAAGGCCTGGGTAGGTAGGTTCGCCATGTCTCTTGAGCCAGTGTGGGCCGTGAAATGCCCGACTATTACGGTGGTGGTATCGCGACTCGATGGTGCTGTGCTTATGTTACCTTCCAAGATGCCACTTATTCTGGAGGGCTTTGGTGGCTTGCCGACAGAGGGGAAAGCCTTGCTTTTGGTGGGCTTTAAGGCTTGGTTCCAGGGGCCACCTGCTTGTGCCCATCAGGCCGGCTGTCGCACGATGCCGCTGACTGCGTGTTTGGAGCGGGATTTTGGCAGGGCCTGCCTTGCCTGCTGGCAGCCGAAGGGTTCTCTTGAGGGCTTTCTTGATGCCGGGTTCCAGCTGATACATGTATCATCGCAGGCGGTCGTCAGGGCAGCTGCAGCCCCACCGCCGGCCACTGCACAGGAGGCCAGGGATCACCTGAGTTCGGCAGCTCTTGCCATTGCACTGGTGGCCCATAAGCCTTTGGTGGGTTTAGTGGTTGGGGACTTTAGTGAGGTTACCGGTGTCGCACTTGACATCCAGCCGGGATGTGGATCGACCCAAACTCCCCAGGGACTTCTCCTTTCCACTCTGCTTCGAGCTGCTTTCTTGATGCAAGCGCCACTCGTTGTGTTAGCCGCGACCGAAGGGGACTGGCAGCTTTCGGAGGTCGCAGGCAGCCTGAACACGTTTGTCCTGCAGACAGGATACCTGCCAAGCTTTACGACCACCCCGAGTGGACCGTGGGTCAGCCATGGCCAGCCGAAGCGATGGGTTGTTTTGGCATCTCCAGAGTTGGGGAAGGTGCCGCTGAAGCAGTGGCCTCTTCGGCAAAGTATGCCTCCCGGTGGCCTGGGGCAGCATGTTGCCTTGGCTGACACTGAGAAGGCCCAAGCTCTGTGGGTGATGGGCCAGATCCGAGTTCATCTTGCCGCACTCGGCCTCCATACGACTGAGGGAAATGATGCCTTTGAAGCTCTGCAGAGCGCCTGTCTGGATCCCGCTGACCAGCAGGCTCCCCTGCCCGACCATGGATCGGATTGTGGCGAGGTATTGGGTACTGAGGTGCGATGCCCCGCTGGTTGTGCCGGTTCCTTCGGGCAGCAACTCCCTGGCTCAGGGCCCCGAAGGATCCAACCGCTGCAAGCTTCGCAAAACTGAGGTTCCAATCCTTCCGTGGCACACTAAGGTGACGGCGAGTTGTGCAGGCACCCTGAGGGAAATTGCCCTGGATCTTCCCCTCTCGTGGCACTCGCCGGGGTCGCCACCTGATGTGGCACAGCAGGTCCTTCTTGGTGGCACTTCACCACCGGGGGAGCTCCTCCATGCTTGCGATTGGGTCCCAGCAGGGACCGAGCTGCTCCTCATTGCTTGTGGCCCGAAGCCACCGAACACTCAGGCAGGCTGGCCCGCCATTCGCATTCCCAAGAATTTGGGCACCAATATGGGTGAGGTACCTGCCGAGGTGCGGCTCGAAGCCCTCCGGGGGCAGGCGCAGTGGCTGGCTGATGACCAGATCAGTTTCCTCCTTGACGTCTGTGCTGAGGAAAGCGGTCGGGCTATCCTAGTGGTTGACCCGCTGCTGGCAAGTGCTGCTCTTCACAATTCCAGCCCTGCTCCCTTTGAGGAGGCTTTGGCTGAGTGCCCGGCCTGGGCAGAGGCCATTACTGTTGCATGGCACCTTGGCCACTGGATTGCGTTCCATTGGAAACGGGAGGGCAGCAATATCCTGGCGTGGTCCAGCACCCCCATGAGAAGGTGCAAGGCGGCATCATCGATGAGGCAGTTTCATGTGTCAATTGCCTGTGGGCCCGGGCCTGCCGCACCAGGGTCAATGCCTTTTGTTTTGCAGGAGGCCCCACAAGGCCCGCTGAGCCTGGTTTCTGTGGCTACTTTGCCTTGGCTGATCTCCGGGCCCGGCTGCATTCGGCCGCCTACCTCACCTCGACCGAGGCTGTTCAGTCGATTGGGAATGCTCTTGGGCCTTTTGTTGCCGGGCTTGATACTCGTGACGGGGTCAGGTTCCCTTGCTTGCTGGGTGGTGGCCCTCATGTGCTGCTGGAAAGTGGGCTTTCTGCCATCCTTCGTGAACGAGGCGTCCCGGAAGATGCTGTTGAAGCCAGGGTCCATGAAGCTGTGCAGCGAGTTGGTGCCCCTCAGCTCCAGCAGGCTATGCAGTCCTCAAAGCAGTGGCAAGAGCTCAAGGCTGTGTGCAACAACTGCTCGCCGCCCTTTCAACTCGTCCTGCCCTCGGAACTCAGGGGCCTGGTTGAGGCCAAACTTCGGTCCGGTGAAACCCTGGGGCCCCGGCGCAAGACCAAAGGCCAGCCCAAGCCGGGTTCTTCTGTTGCTGGCCCTGTGGTCCCGCAGCCCCACCAGGTCATCATCCCGGAAGCGGAGTTTGAGCATGATGGCAATCCGCTTTCGCAGATCTCTCTCAGGGAGGTCGGCCCAGTGGCCACTGGCGTGGTCGCCCTTTCAGCTGCTGAAGCCCAGGCCTACTTGTCCATTGCAGTCTCGTCTAAGGCCCTGGGACTTTTGGTGTTCGGCCAGGTCGACCTGTCGGTTGCTACGGTTAAACACGAGAAGGTCCGATTCCAGGCCAAATGTGTGACGACCGAAGGCCCAATGTTGCTTACCGCCGTTCTTCTCCAGATTGGTGACCGGTTTGTGCAGAAGCGGGCCCCTGCCAAAGTCGAGACTCTGGAGCTCCCGCCTTCCTCCATCGTCCGGGTGGCAATCTATAGGCACGAATGGGCAGGGCCTTGGTCGCTTGTCCAACAAAAGCCAATCCGCGCCTTGCTGGAGGCCTGCTCTCGCCTGCAAACTTGCACTCAGGTAGGCTGCCAGTGTGAACAATGGCATGGCACATCGGACCCCGGGTCCCGGAGGCTTTGCTTGAGGTTTGGGGCCGTTCCTACGTGTCGGAGTCGATGCGGCCAGCCTCGGCTGAGGCAGCTTTTGTTTTCAATGCTTTTCTGCGTGTCCCAGCTGGCCTGCTGGAAACCTTGCTGGGCTTTTCGGGGGGAGGCGGCATCTACTTTGAGCCCAGAGGCGATGAAGCCCGGCAGCATTCGCCCCTCTACTCGGTTGCCTGGATGCCAAAGGCCACTAGGCAGGAGGTCACCCTCGCCAGGCAATCCACACCACAGGCCCTTGGCATTGCTCGGATTGGTCAGCGATTTGGGGTTCGCAGCAAGGTTGAACATGCGGAGGAGGTCCATTCCCTTCTCAAGCCCGCCTCCACTTACTTCAAGCAAGAAGGGGCACTCACTTTTCATGCAGGGCCCTGGCCGTATGGGAGTCAGCGAGGAGCCATTGCTAAGGTCCTAGAGTCCTGGGGTTGGAAGGCTAGGCCCATCCAGCCTATCCCGAGGCCATCTGGTGATGGACAGTGTGGTGGGCCATCAAGGCCGAGAGATTCTGGTTTCAGAGGCCAAGGCCAAGCCCGGGCCCAAGGGTCCTGTGCAGGAGGTCCTGGTTGCACCTCGTGCTGTGTTACTGGTCGAGGACCCCCTTCAAACCAACGATCCGTGGGCTGCTGCTGCAGCTGCTGCCAAGGCAAACCCTGGTCGGAGCTCTGTTGCTGCCACTGCTAGCAATGATTTCGGGGCCATGGCTCGATCCCTTGAGGCGCTTTTTGAGCAGCAGACTGCCCGAATCGAAGAGTTGCTGGGGCCGAAGCGCCAACGGCATGAGTGACTCTTAGTGCACCCTCTGGGGCTCCTTTTCCTTTTGTGCTGCCTCAGTGGAGGCTGGGCTGATGCCTTCCACTTGGGGCTTTTGGCCATTTTGCTTTCGTTTCGATTTGGGACCGAGGCCAACCTGTGATCCCGATGAGGGGGCTGAGACTTTTGTTTTGGGTGCGTTTAATCCCACTGGATTGAATGGCAAGCATGGGATTGTGGCTGACTTGCCACCAGGGGTTTATACTGTGTCTGAGACCCACCTGACTAAGCGTGGCACAGGCATCTTTCGCAACGGCCTTAAGTATGCCAATGCTCCTTTTCGGTTTTCGCCGGGCCCTCCGGCACCACCTCGAGCGAGAAGCCCCGTCACGGGCGATTACACCGGGGTGGGTTTCCTTTCTTCGTTCCCGTGCATCTCCCTGCGATTTCGCAGCCGACTTGGTTGCCACGGCCAGGTTACATGTGGCTTCTTTCCTTCTCGGGTCCACCTGGATTTTGGGTGCGGCCATCTATGGTCTTCCTGTTGCCCCGGCGGCGACTGAAACCTTGCTGCAGGCGGCTACCACCCGGGTGGTCCTGCAGGGTCAGGGGCCTCGTTTTCTGGCTGGCGATTTTAATCTTGAGCCCGAGGCCCAACAGCTGGCCCCGTTCTGGGAGCAACATGGCTTCCTCGATGTTCAGGACCTTTGGCACAGGCGCTGTGGCCAGCTGCCACAGGTTACTTGCAAAGCTTCAACCCGCAAGGATTTCCTTTATGTCTCTGCGGAATTCCACCACTTACTGGAACAGGTCACTGTGGACGACACCTGGTTTTGTGATCATGCTGTATTGTCGGCCACCTTCCGACTGCAAGGGCTACGGCAGCCTTGTCCGATTTGGCGGATGCCCCGCCCTCGGCAATTGCCTTCCGACATGCAGCTTCCTCTGCCTGCCTGTGTCTTCCCTGCTTTGGCCCCCGATGGCGATCCTTCTCAATCGTACCGCCTGATCTGGGAGCACTATGAAAATCACCTTTCCCACTGTCTCCAGCTCGCGGGCAACCGGCCCCTTTCAAAGTCTGAGCGTGGCCGGGCCGAAACAACTGAGGTCACTGTGGTGGTGCGCCAGGCCACCGTTGTGCCGGTTGGCCGCCACGGGGAGGTCAAACCTGCCTTTGTGGGCTCTGATCGTGGGTATGCTTTATGGTTTCGGCAGCTGCGTAGGTTGCAAGCCCTTGTCCAAAGTTTGGCTAAGAGCTCTCCCACGGACACGGCTGTCGAGTACCGGGCTGGACTGTGGCATGCCATCTGCCGGGCCCCCGGCTTCTTTCCCAACTTTCGAGCCTATTGGCCTACTCGCTCTGTTGTCTCTGTTGGTGACCCTGCCGTGGTCCCGGTGGGCATCCCTGGCTTGGCCACTGCTAGGGCCTTGTTTGCTGCCTTCCAGGCCAATGTCAATGCGATGGAGAAACATCTCCAAAAGACCCGTAAGAGGGAGGCCAAGGCGCGAAGGGCCAAGGACCCCATGATGATCTTTCGTGACATAGGGTCAGGCCGAGCGGCTCCTGTTGAGTCTATCGTTGAGGGTGTTTCGGCCAAGGTCTCTGCTGTTGACCCGGCGTGTGGTTCGGTGGGCTTTGCTGCTGATGTGGACTGGCAGGCCGATGCCGGTTTCCTGTTGAATCAAAAGCCAGTCGAGGTTCACCATGCGGAGCCTGACATGCTGTGGGGCGATTTCGCCCTGGCCAAGGTGGGGGATGTCATTTCTCAGCAAACCCCGACTGCAAGCCTGCCTGCCCTGTTCCGGGCCTTTGGGGACCATTGGACTCGTTTCTGGCTAAAGCACGAGCAGGTTGACCCTGATACTTGGCGCCGGTTGGTTGCCCTTGAGTCGTCTCCTGCTGTTGCCCCTTACGAGGCCCTGCCTCTCACGGTTGAAGGGTGGCGAGAAGCTGTTCGTGCCAAGCATGCCTTTTCCGCCACCGGTCCCGATGGTGTTTCTCGGACCGACCTCCTGGCCCTGCCAGTGTGTCTCACTGAGCAGATGATTGCCCTTTGCCACCGGGCCGAAAGCACCGGTTCTTGGCCACGGCAAATGGTTGAGGCCTCTGTCACTGCCGAAAAGATGGAAGGGGCCACTGTCACAGGGCACTACCGCCCCATCTGTGTCCTCTCGTTTCCCTACCGGGTGTGGGCTTCCATACGGGCTAACCTCCCGGGCAAAACCGCGGGAGCGGTGTGGTGGGCCTTGCAATTAGAAATTGAGGAGGCCGCCATGACGGGCCGACCACTGGTGGGGGCCTTCCTGGATCTCTCCAAGGCCTTCAATACCCTGCCCAGAGCACCGGTGTTTGCCCTTGCCCTCCATTACGGGGTGCCTGCCAAGGTTGTCAAGGCCTGGTCCGGGGCCGTGCTCTGACCCGCCGCTTTCGTATCCGTGGTGCCACAGGCCCAGCATTGCCGAGCTTTACGGGCTTTGCTGAGGGTGACCCCCTCTCGTGTTTGGCCATGGCCGTGGTCGACCTGGCCTTGCATCGTCGCTTTGAGGCAAAGGCCGAGACGGCTCCGGCTGCGGTCATTAGGGCGGTTGGTTTAGTTGAGGAATTCACTCGAGACCCTTGATCCGTCCAAGATGATCATGTGGGCTACCGACCCACTGCACAGGCGTGAGCTCCGCAGAGCGGGCCGCAATGTGGCCCATTCCGCTCGGAGTTTGGGTGGGCATATCGCAACCACGCGAGCTCGATCCAATGGGACGCTTCAGGGTAGGGTTGCTGGGGTTGATAAGCTTTGGCCCCAACTCCGTTCCTCGCCTGCGCCTCTGAGCCAGAAGGTTCGTGCACTCCACGTGGGAGCATGGCCAAGGGCCCTCCATGCCGTCTCAAGCACAAATCTTGGTGACACTTTGATCGGCCACTTGCGGTCTGGAGCCATGAAAGGACTTGGCCTTGAGGGGCCGGGTGTTAACCCTGAAGTCGCTCTCAGCCTCGTCTGCTACCCGCTCGCGGACCCGGGCTACTTTGTCCTTGAGTCTACCTTCCGGGATCTGAGGGCTTTTGGCCTGAAGGAGAGAGTAGTGCCGATGATCGAGGAGCTCTTGGCTTCAACGAGCCGCTGGAGCCCGGGATCCAGGTCTTTTTGGAAAGGTGCTTTGCCGTCGGCATTTCCTGGAACGCGGCTGAGGCTGCCTTGGAGGACTCGATTTCATGCTTTGACCTCTGGGATGTGAGCCCACAAGAGCTCCGGCACCGTCTGGTTTTTGCTTGGCAGAAGCGGGTTTGCTCTCAGGTGTCTTCGAGACCCGGCTTTGCAGGGCTTACTGGTGCAGATCCGCAGCACACTGCTGCCCTTAAGAAACTGGCGCCCCACTGACTGCAAGCATGCATTCAATGCGCATACTGGTGCCTTTTTCACTCAGGATGCCCTGAGATACTTTGGTGATGGGCCTACGGAGTGTGCTTCCTGCAAGTACTGTGGGGCGTTGGATAGTGTTCGACATCGTGTTTGGCATTGTCCGCGCTTTGATGAGGCACGGAACACCGCCGCCGCAGCATGCCTTCCTGATCCAGGGACTCTTCCTGAAGCCATGGCCCTGCGGGCCTGGGTCATGCGACCAGCTCGTCTTGTGGAGCTTTGGCGGCTCCTTGCAGCCATCCCGGACACTACCTGCGAGCTCAATGTTCCGGCCACCCTGGAGCCCCTGGTGCACCTCTTTACCGATGGGTCCTGTTTTCTGCCTGGGATACCACAGCTGCGACTTGCCTCCTGGGCAGTGATTTGCATGCCGACCACGGGGCAGCCGGCTACCCTGGTCTCGGCGGGGCCATGCGGGGCCTGTTTGGGGGCTGATCCAAACTGCATTTCGGGGCGAGATCACGGGTGTCCTTTCGGCATTGAGTTTTGCAGTGACTACTCGTATGCCGGTCTGTATTTGGTGCGACTGTGCAGGTGTGGTCCGCACTTTGAGGAGGATGCTGGACAATGGTTTTTGTCCTCGGTCTCAAAGCCCTAACTCTGACCTTTGGAGGCGGGTCTTCCACCTGGCGAAGCGGGCCCCTGCTGGCACAACGATCCGGAAGGTCACGGCTCACGTTGAGTTGGACATGGCCTCTGATGTGGCAGAGGAATGGGCTGCTCAGGGAAATGATGCCGCTGACAAAGCGGCTACCGTGGCAAACTGGAATCGCGACCCAGCCTTTTGGGAGGTCTGGGAAGATGTTCGGAAGGACTACGTGGTCCAGGACCTTCGCGGGCGAGCAGTTTTGGAGCTACACCGGACGGTGGCCACCATGGCCACCCGTGACGTCGAGGACTTGAGTGGATGCCCGGAGGACCCTCCGGTTGGCTATGACTGTGACATTCGGCCCTTGCCGGGAGCGCTCCCGCGCCACCTGGGCCGATTCGGGGGCGAATACATCTGCGAACTGCATGCGTGGCTAGAGACTATGGCTGCGGGCAATGGTGGCCCCAAGTGGGTATCTTTTCTGCGTCTGTATGCTGCATTTGTTTTCGATACCGCGAGGATCCCTCCGATTTATAACAGACGCAGCAAGCACTGGGAGCACTTTCCTTCTGATGACTTACGGATACAGACTGTTTCCCTGGGTGAGCGAGTTCGCTATTTTCGTCGTCATGTCAAAGCCATTATCCACGCTGTGGCGGGAAAGCTGTCGGTTCAAGAAACTCGGCCGTACTCAGCAGCTCTCGCGGTGAAAGTGGCATTTGCGTTCGTAGTGTTGCCTCAGGGCACCTTTGATAGGATTGAAAGTTGGCTTGTATCGCAGCTCCCAAATGGGGCATGCGTACAACAGAGTCGTGAATGGACGGCTCTACCTTTCCCGCCTGTCGGTTGAATGACCCTGGGCCAGGCATGCCTCCGCTGGAGCCGAGGCTTGACCGCGAACCGAAAGGTGCCGAAAGCGAAAGGGTTTAGGGTTTAGGGTTTTGCGTGTGTAGGGTTCAGGGTTTAGGATTTCAAGGGCTTGAGGAGATAGGGCCCAGGCAGCAAGAGGTTTTGAGGCTTTATACAGGCCAAAGATTCCTGAACGAAGCTGGATAATGACGAGTTGCGGGGTAAGGCAGAAGCCTGAATAATTGCCTATACCGTTCCTTTAGGTTCCTGTTTATGAATACGGTATTAGAAGATTATATATGCCCGTAGACATCATTTTGATTTGAAGCGCTTGGAGTCGTCCTCCTTGGCCCGGTTGTACTTGAAGCAGGTGCATTGTTTCGGAAAGCAACAGGTAGGTCACGCGGATGAGGTCTTGAGTTAATGAGCGCATTTGCTTCAAGATGTGTTTTAATGGCAGCGTTCATGCTCACGGTGAGGCTTTGGGCAATAATCCCACGTGAAAGGTGGCATATTCCTTGCACTATCTCATACACGTTACTATAAACATCGTATTGCAGTTTTCACCGGTCTGATAGACAACCTCCCATATGTTGGAAGGGGCATCAGCAACGTACAAGATACCAGCCGCAGAATTCCCAGACTTGGCATCAACTTCACGAATCCTCGACGCAAGGCACGGACGAGGGAAGCGGGGGGGCGGGGGAGGCGGGGGGGGGGGGGGGTGTGGGGGGGGAAACAGGAAATCCTTGTGGGAACTCCTGGCTGCTTCGACTGGGGCCGAGGCGAATATTTTAGGTCCCTCTAATACACACATCCGTATAGTACCCCTCATAGTACCACTTCAAAGCCCTAAACCTCGGCCAACGTGTGACAGATGAATCCAAGCGGCGTTCCGCTCCTGAACAGGTAGCTAATGGCCACGGGAACTCCAGGTGCATGGACCTCCATCAGGGTTACAGAAAATTTGGTCATGTGATGTGCATCGGGTTCGAAATGCCGTAGGTTCGCGAAACATCATCGCGCCGACCAGTTGGTATAAGCGGGGCCAAACATCGTGTTGAGGATCCCGCCGATATCAGCAAACCGGGTACCCAGCTTCGCGAGCATAAAGGGAAGCAAATCCAGGGAAGATTTCTTGGAGGCTGTTCTAAGATCTATCGCAAGGGAGTTCCTTCAACATGACGTGCGCGATCAACAGCTGCCGCGGTCTTGTTTTCTTGCGACGCGAGTGGAGAGAGTTTGGCGTTCTCACGTTTCCTTGCTCTCTTCTTGCTGCGACTGCTGCGATGAGCAACGCACGCAATGCTGTGTGCGCGCCACCGTCCTTCGCGACCAACAGAACGTGATACGTAGCTACGCAAAGACGCAGCCTGGCTCGCCTTGAGCATTTCGTGGCGGTGTTGGACGAAGCGCATCGTCTGCAATTCGAGGAGGAGCTTGTCGTCGCAGAGGTCAATGCAAACCTCGTCGCCGGCGAATGTCGTTGCCATCTTTTTCAGGATTGACACTTAGTTAATTAGGGAGTTAGTTCGGGACCGAAGTGGTTCACGAGATAGATACTGAGGAAAAGATGGTCGCTGTGATTGCTCCTGGACTACATCTTGGGAGTTTTGGCGTTGTGACCTTTGAGGGTGACTTCCTGGTTGGCGATATTTTTGAGGTGGATCTCGAAAGGTCAAAAGGCCCAGCAAAATTTCTTAAACAAAAGACGAAACGTCCCTTTCGCATCATATGTATTTCAACTTTAGGATATTCGTGGGCAATGGCGATTTCGGGTGTTTTTCACCATTGCCGAAGAAGAAGTCGCCATTGCCCTGCAAGTTTTAAATCATCATGAACCCGCGATTCGCCACCTGGCTCAGTGATGCGACTTCGGATGCATCATGCTCTCAATCTCAGCGTCCTTGCTCGAGAGAGTGGGGATGCAGCAGGGCAGGGCAGGGGCAAGGGCGAGGGCGAGGGCAAGGGCAAGGGCAAGGGCAAGGGCAAGGGAGGGGCAGGTAAGGCTAATAAACACAGGAGCTTGCGCTATCTTATGGGGTATACATCATCTAGGTTGTCGGTTACTTCTCGGTTTTTGTTCCATATGTGGTTTTCTTGAGGTTGACACTTCGTTGAGCTCGTTGCCCGTAGCCCTCAAAGTGGCGCGGGGTTCCTGTGCTGTAGAATCTGTTATCTCCTGCGGGTGCTTGGTGGTCTCCTGATGGCATCCCGCTCGTTGCTGGAGCTCTGGTACCTTTAGGGGCCTCCGAACTGTCGTTTTCGAACAAGCGAAAACACTTGTCGCACACGGAACGTTTCCAAAAAGTGGTGTAAATGCTGGAAAAGCACACATGGCAACTGCAGCTGCGACCTGTCTTGATCTGTTTTTTCCGGTGCTGCCGTGCCGCTGCTCGCATAATCTCGCATACATGCGTGCAGGTTGCCCTGCAGGATCCTTGGCTGACCCCACGCGGCAGCAACCGGCTCCACAGGGTCCGCAATCACACGGACGTGCGCCCGCCCACCGGTAAGAACGGTGGGCGGCGCCGGGGTCGCAAGTGGACCTACACAGTGGGTTGTTT